GAATATAAGTTTGACAAACCAGTGGCAGCAGTTCGGCACGCGACTACAGTTCAGTTCTTTGTACCACCTCGAGACCGACGGACATACAGAACGGACAAACCAGACCATGGAGCAGCTCATCCGAGCCACGTGCGACGACCCGGCCACTTGGGAACAGCAACTGCCTCTCATCGAGTTCGCGTACAACAACTCGCCATCCGCCACGACCCAACCGTCACCGTTTTACTTGAACTACGAACAAGACCCCACAGTACCCATGACTCTGAATCCCGACAACCCGATGCCACGCGCGCAACAGTTCGTAGAAATTTTACAAGCAGCACAGACCCGAGCAGCAGACACAATAAAAAAATCGAACATCATCGCTAAGCGTAACGCCGACCGCCACCGCCGACCCGTCACTTACCAGCCCGGCGACCTCGTGCTACTCGATACTCAAAACCTCCGCCTGCTAATCACCCCAAAAGTCCGCCCCCGATATTGCGGGCCATTTTGCATCAGCCACATGATCACACCCGTCACTGCCCACCTCCTCCTCCCTGGTGACTGGTACGTCAGCCCGTCATTCCACGTCAGCCTGCTTCGCCCATACGTACCATCCACCAGCCAACTGCCTCACAACCGCCCCGCCAGCATGACACGACCGCCGACAGAACCAATCATTACGCCCGAAAAAATATTGAGCCACCGAGTACGTGACCCACAGGGAGCCCGCGGGATCGAATTCCTGATCCGCTGGAAAGACCGCACGCCCACCGAAGATAACTGGGTCCCCCTGGATAGAATTGTGAATCACCCTGTCCTCACTGAGTATCTGCGCAGTCGAAATTTTCGAGATGTACACGTACTCTCGTAAGGAGGGCCTCCTCTTGAGGGGGGGGGGGGTAGTGTAAGGAAAATTCATTTTCCTTACTTCGCGCCCCTGCTTACCGCATACAAGACCATTCCCGCCATCGGCACCCAAACAGTGAAACGTTACTTGCTCGCGACACTCGCCTCGACTACGACTCTCGCCACGACTACGACTCTCGCCACTGTTCACGATGCGACCCAACATCACGGCTCGGTTGGTAACCCGCGCTCCGGACCTCCGCCTCGACATATCCCAACCTCGGCGCTAGGCCCGTAGCGCACCCCAATTTCTCGCGTTACCGTTACCACTCTAGTTCGCTATATATTCTTCGCGCATGCCTTCTCGCATTGTATTGTTTTGCTTCGATAGTCCAATTCTAGGGGAAAATATGCCACTCGTAATCAACATGGGTCTCGATAATATGTTTGGTAAAAAAAAAATGGGTACGGTCACTGCAAAGGGTGTTTTCACGTCTTTGATAAAACGTTTCACGGAATCAGTCACAATCAACTGGGAAAAAATAACGCGAATGGTCACAGATGAAACTCCTGCCCAAAAAAAGATAATACTCTAAACGAACTTGGATGCATTTTCGGATTAATCAACCCTAAACACAACTCGCCAGGTGTTTAGGGTTGATCCGTTCCCAAACGGCATCCGATTCCGATTGGGTTTTAGTATTTTCAGAAATTAGCTGATTGGTTGGGCGCGAGCGGGAATTTGGTGGAGTTTCAAGAAATTTTGGCGGGAGTTACATGTGTGACCATTCTCGTGATTTTTCACCTGTTGTTAGTGACTGAATCCGTGACCCCACTTACCAAACCCGTCAGCAAACCCGATTTAGTGACCGTACGCGTTACTTTTTTACCATTCACGTTATCTAGTCCCATGTTGGTTACTTGTGACATTTTCTCCCCAATTCTAGCTCTCTCACTCAATTGCACTCGTAACAGTACATAACGGGTTTGCATGTTCTGTTCTGGCACCTGTGTAACTGCCATTCATGTTCACAGGCACCTTGTCGGGGAGTCCCATCCCCACCCCGATCCCAAATCCCCCTCGTGGTTGTACGGCAAATCAGATATTGGAACTGCCTGCTACAGTGGTCTGGTTATACTGGGAGAAGGCACAGCCTGTGGTTCACCTTAAAGCCGTGGCCCAACTATCAACTTCAACTTCAAAGTATTATAGCTTGGAAGAGGTTGACCCAGGCAGTTCAGAGCCGAGAAGTTTGTCTTCTGGTTTTCCAGTTTTTTCGTCCAATAGAATTCAAGTTACTCACATGCCATTTTTGTCCCCCTACTGTTCCTAAGAAGTTGCACCCCGCCTTTAAAGCTTCTCAGAGTTGGAGAGAGAGAGGAGGGCGTGGTACATCGTGTGAAAAACAGGGTCTAATCTGTCATGAGGTCATTTTGCAGGGTCGTAAGAGGTTCATGGTGTTACGTAACGCGCCTCGGCGTAAGAATTGCAACATTCCCTGACTGGATGACCCCGCGGCGCGTTCGTGCAAATCAAAAGAGCTAGTCCCTGAGTTTCTCGACATTTGTTTTGTGGCTCAGTGGGTTTTGGGAGGTACATTCGCGCTCGGTTTTATCACATTCGAAGGGTTACTCGCTTCGGGATCCAAAACATAAACCCCGATTTAATATGATGCACCACGCCCTGACGAGCAGCAGGATCACCTTGTTTGGTGGTTTGAAAACGATCATATCGGGAGGTCAAGTTGCAAGCTCCCAAATGAGCACAGAAGCAACCAGTCAAACAACACTGTGAATTTGCAGGGCACACAGACAATTGCCATGATTTGACAATTCCAGGTAAGGTGCGACTGTCTGACAGCTTACGCAGGCTTGTTTGGTGATGCCGAGGGTCTGTTAAAGCCGTGGCCCAACTATCAACTTCAACTTCAAAATATTATAGCTTGGAAGAGGTTGACCCAGGCAGTTCAGAGCCGAGAAGTTTGTCCTCTTCTGGTTTTCCAGTTTTTTCGTCCAATAGAATTCAAGTTACTCACATGCCATTTTTGTCCCCCTACTGTTCCTAAGAAGTTGCACCCCGCCTTTAACGTGTGTTCTTGTTCTTGTTGAGTTCCGGGCGTATCATATGGACTTCAATTTTGCTCAAAACCCTACTCAAACGCAAAGAACTAAAAATATGCCGCTCTGACATGCGCAACATCTCATTCCACCGCAAACAATATAAACTTATATGAAACCCCTTTACTGTACGGAGAAATGAACCTTTCTGCCCCGTTCCGGCTGCCAGCCAAAACCGTATCGCTGCATTACTGTACGGATATCCAAGAGATTCTTCTGCCTCTTTCTCAACTGAACAGGCTGGACCACTTCCGCGTATGAATTTCCAGATAACTCATGCTGTATTCGGGCTGAGGATGTGATGTGATGTCCCCCTGCGAGGGAGGCCGATGCACTCGCTGTTGTGTCATCGAAAATGTGTGTCCAGTCACCTCAGGTCCAATGTTTCAAGTATTCACAAAGCATCTCCTATTCCCTCACCTGCCATTCCGTGGGGTACGAGAGCTTTGAGATGCGGTTGAGAGCCGGCTTAGTGACGCCTTGCTAGTAGCCTTGACAAGTCCCTGGCTACGGCGCAGAATGTTGAGCAGACATACGACTTTCTACGTGATTCAGATCCGTTATCTCCAGCTTTGGACGATCATGCAGAAATCCCTGGATTTCTCTTATCCGACTAGCATGAATTATTTCCCGAGTCGGGAATCGAGCCAGCCGACGGCCCAGACCCGGCGTCGAAGCGAAGCTAGTAAGATTACTACGAACTACTCACTGAGTGCTCGTAACTTCAATAAATGATCTAGCGATTTAGCCGCATTATCTCTCCTTTATTTTCTGCAATTTGGGCATGATAATTGTTGACACAACTTGGTTACTTTCGTTTTTCAGACATCGGCTTGACGACTAGCACACCAATCAAGAAGATTGACCATCAACGGTCAAAATCTTGTCCTGGAGCTCCAATAAAGCTGGCGAGTCTCACCAGCCGTCGGATCAGCTTGTACTCTACAGTGAAACGAGACCTGATGAGAAAGTTCCAAGCAGCTGAATTCATCGGACCACCCATAACTACCAATTCATCATCCGTGTCGGGACTAACGGAGGAAATGCAGGGTCCTAATCAAGCGTCTACAAAATCAGCTGAAAATCCGTAACTGCTGACACATCATCTCGAGGGTCTTTTGAGTCTTGAGGAACTAACGGAGAAGGTGCAACCCTGAGAGTCCTAGGGTCCCTGAGGTTCCTGAGGGTCTTAAGGGTCTTAAGGGTCTTAAGGACCTTAAGGGTCCTTGAGCAAGCTGACATCGGCCAAGATTCTCCCTGCCTTGCCGTGGAACTTCTATGTCTTTAATCTCTTGGCTTCTGTGGCTAACAGAAGGCCTTCAGGGGCAGGCGTTGTGTACGTCTCTTTTCACACAGACTCCCTCTCTCACGTAACCTCCCTTCTCCCTTTCTCTCTTTTTTATCACTTAAAACCTTTCCCTCCTCTCACATAACCCCCTTCCCTCCTCTCACATGACCCCCTCTCTCTCCGCTCACATGACCCTCTTCTCTCACATAACCCCTTTCCCGCTTCTTACATAACCCCCTTCCCTCCTCGCACATGACTCCCTTTCTCTCCTCTCACATAACCCCCTTTAGCTCGTCTTACATAACCCCCTTCCCTCCTCTTACATGACTCCCTTTCTCTCCTCTCACATGACCCCCTGATTCCTACATAATCTCCCGTATATCCTCTCACATAAGCCTCCTCACTTCTCACATAACCCACTTTCACTCCGCTCACTTAATCGTTCTTCAAATGATCTAGAAGGCAAAATGATGGGAAAGGCAATGTACATGTGGGTGGTTGACCCTGGACTGTTCAGTATTTATGAGCACTTGGGGTTTATCTGCCCATCTTTCCCTCTCGTGTATCTCTTTCTATAAGTGCAGCAAAACGTGTTCATACATCATGCAAGAAAGCAGCTCGAAAACAAGCCTAGGTGAAGGGATAGAAGTTGATGAAAAGCAAGGAGCCAATGACTGCATATCCCAATGATGCACCAGTCCATGCCCTTACCATAAACAACTCCCACCTTGTATCCTCATTCGCAGAAGACTGTCGGGCAGATTTAGAGAGCTTGGTATTTGCCGATGTGAGGAGATGGGCCAGGAACCAGTAGAGAGGAGGTGAGGAGGAGAGGAAGCGAGTTGCCACCTGAAACCCACAAGGGAGGGAGGGGAGAAGGGAAGGGAGGGAGGGAGGTGGGGGGCCCAGGCTGAGACTGCTTGGCATAACCCGATGTGAGGAGATGGGCCAGGAGCCAGTAGAGAGGAGGTGAGGAGGAGAGGAAGCGAGTTGCTACCTGTAGATCAAAAGGAAGATATTTGCGGGGTGAGGGGGATGGGGGTTTGGATTGAGACTGCTTGGAATGTCCCGATGTGAGGAGATGCGCCAGGAACCAGTAGAGAGGAGGTGGGGAGGAGAGGAAGCGAGTTGCCACCTGTAGCTCACAGGGGAGGGGGTCACGAGGTGGGGTGAGGGGAGGGGGTCACGAGGTGGGGTGAGGGGAGGGGGTATGGGAGGGTGGGGGCGTTGGGTGGGGGGACAGTCTGAGAGTGCATGGTAATTGCTGATGTGAGGAGATGGGCCAGGAACCAGTAGAGAGGAGGTGAGGAGGAGAGGAAGCGAGTAGCCACCTGAAACTCACAAGGGAGGGAGTTGCGAGGTGGGGGGAAAGGGAGGACGGGGGGCGGAGGGGTTGCGGGGAGAAGCAGCGAGGGGGATATGGAAAGAAGCTACCGAATGTTTGACATCTTCTTTCACTGTAACACAGTCAAAGCTAGCAGGAGGAAAACATCCTGTGTTACTGTATTCCCAGGGATGGAGCCCCCCCCCCCTAATTGATTTGGCCCCGTGGCGTAACTTGAGGCAAAGGGGCGATAACGCATTTTCCGACAAATGGCCCCACCCTCATTCGAAAAGTTTTCTGCTATCGAAACACATGACGTCACTGAATTCTTTTCCATAATAGGTTAAAACATAAACGTTCTATAAGCCCCGTGGATATTACAATTTACTCGATCATAGTCCCCACCCCAGAAATTGCAAAGAAAAAGATTCAGGTTGTTTTTGTTTCCCTCCAGTGAATCAGTAATCACTAGGAATTGCAGAATTTTCCACAGGGTCACAAGAGCTGACTCACCTGTACGTGCATCACCAGGGTTGCCACTGCTGTCATAAACAGAAGCTGCAGCAGGAACGGCAGAGCAGGAGCTGCTCTCCTTCCTCCCCCCTTTCCTCCTCCACTTCCCCCCTCCTTTCACGTGCTTGCGGGTGGTTCGGGGGGGGAAGGAAGAGGAGGTGGTGGTGGTCAGCAGGAGACGAGAGGAGATCGAGGGAGAGGAAGAGGAGGGGGCGGGTGAGTGCAAAGGATAGGATGGCCGAGAGGGAGAGGAGGAGGGTGGGTGCTGCTAGGAGGAAGTTGGGAAGCTGCTTCAGCTGAAAGTAGAGGAGAAATCCCACATCCCTGCAGGGAGAGAGGGTAGTGGGGAAGGAGCAGGAGGGGCAGGTGAGGTGAGTGAGGTGAAAGGGAGGGACAGCGCTGCTAGGAAGAAGTTGGGGAGCTGCTTCAGCAGAAAGTAGCAGAGAAATCCCACATCCCTGCAGGGAGAGAGGGTAGTGGGGAAGGAGCAGGAGGGGCAGGTGAGGTGAGTGAGGTGAAAGGGAGGGACAGCGCTACTAGGAAGAAGTTGGGGAGCTGCTTCAGCAGAAAGTAGCGGAGAAATCCCACATCCCTGCAGGGAGAGAGGGTAGTGGGGAAGGAGCAGGAGGGGCAGGTGAGGTGAGTGAGGTGAAAGGGAGGGACAGCGCTGCTAGGAAGAAGTTGGGGAGATGCTTCAGCAGAAATTAGCGGAGAAATCCCACATCCCTGCAGGGAGATAGGGTAGTGGGAAGGAGCAGGAGGGGCAGGTGAGGTGAGTGAGGTGAAAGGGAGGGACAGCGCTGCTAGGAAGAAGTTGGGGAGCTGCTTCAGCAGAAAGTAGCGGAGAAATCCCACATCCCTGCAGGGAGATAGGGGGCATACAGACAAGGAGAGGAAGAGGCAGGTGAGTGCAAGGGATAGGATGGTACAGCAGGGAGGGAGGGAGAGGAGGATGGCAGAGAGGGAGAGGAGGAGGGTGGGTGCTGCTAGGAGAACACTGGGAAGCTGCTTCAGCTGAAAGAATCTCAGAAATCCCGCATCCCATTTCGGAGACAAATCAAAAATCGATTCAGGAGTTGGATGAAGTGTCTGAGATATCTCGCGTTCCTGTGGAGGGAGGGGGTAGGTGGAGCGAAAACTGAATTTACGCACCAGGAGGGGGTGTCTCGAGGCGTTTTGGTGCTAGCAGCAGGGCGGAAGAACTGGGTGAAAGTGAAGGCTCGGAGGGAGAGCAGGAGGGAGAAGGAGAGGAGAGGAGAGAGGGAGAGGAGGGAGAGGCAGTGCTGCTTGCTGCGTGCGGCTTGCTGCTTGCTGCTGTCTCACCAGTACGTGCGTTGAACATAGCCGTAAATGTAAGGAACGGAGTCCAGGCACCAGGGGGGGATGTCGTGAGGCATTTCATTGGCCGGGGACGTTCTGGTGCTAGCAGCAGGGCGGCAGAACTGAGTGAACGGGAAGAATTGGAAGGAGAGGAGGAGGGAGAAGGAGAGGAGGCAGCAGAGGGCGGTGGAGAGGAGGATGGGTAGGAGCCTGGGAGGGGGAATGGGAGGAAAAAGGGGATTGAGGAGAGGGGGAGGGGAGGGGAATGGGGGGAAGCGAAGGCATAAGGGCAGGAAAAACCAAGAAGGGGAATCAATTCGGATGAAGGCGAAGGCTTGGAATGAAAGGAGGAGGGAGAAGGAGAGGAAAGAGCAGGAGGGTGTGGGGAGGAGGATGGGAAGGAATTGGGGTGGGGAAGAGGGAACAACGAAAAGGAGAAGCGGAACATAAAAAGCAAACCAGAAAGAATGGAAGGAAGAGATAAGAGAGTGCTCACTTGGTGCAGCACAGTTGCCAATTTCTTTCCAAACGTGGCCCGATTGGGTCAGCTGGTTCTGTTGCTGACACTCTTCTGCCTGTCCGTCTCTCAGTTGACTTGTGGGATGTGTGTCGGTCTAAAATCCCTTTCTTTCCAGAGTGCTCACCTCTTGCGGCACAGTTGCCGCTTCCTTTCCAGAAGCGGCCCGATTGGGTCTGCTGCCCGTTCCGTTGCTGCCACTCTTCTGTCCGCCCTTTTCTCAGCTGACTTGTGAGGGGGGTGCTGCTCTCTCGGTTCACTCCCTTGCTTCTTGACAGCATTGATCAACCGCTGCAGCAGCTGGAATGGCAGGAGAGGGAGAACGAGGGGCCCTGCTGCCTGAGGGAGGGGAGGAGGCAGGCGGGAGGAGGCAGGGGGAGAGGAGTGAGATGTGAGACGTGTGTCACAGTCTTGGATAAACCCTTGCGGCCTGACAGCACTGAACAGCCACTGCAACAGAGGTTGGATGAGCGAACTGCTGGTTGAAGGAGAGGCGGAGGCAGGGAGGAAGAGGAAGGGGAGCAAGAGCAGAGCCAGTCAGTTCGGTATAGGGTTGAGGGAGATTATGAGGGAGGGAGTGCACGCTTGCAAGCTGCAGCAAGCACACACCTGCAGTGATGCAAAGAGGGAGGGAGGCAAAGAGGAGATGATAGTATACCTGCAGTGAGAACACACCTGAAGTGAGAACACACCTGAAGTGAGGAGAAGAGGAAGAAGCCTGCATGCAGGACGCCGTTTGAGCGAGCTGCTGCTGAGAGGGTGATGAGGAGGGAGTTGCTAAATTACCAAGTCAGCAACTAAATTACCAAGTCAGCAACTAAATTACCAAGTCAGCAACTAGAATTACCAAGTCAGCAACTAAATTACCTGCAGTGTGGCAAAGAGGAAGAAGACTGAGTGCAGGACGCCGTTTGAGCGAGCTGCTGCTGTGAGAGGGCGATGAGGAGGGACATAGGTAGTAGTTACCATACCATCATGTGCTGTGTGGTTACCAACATGTGTGTAACCCCACCACCACCACACCATGTACCTGCAGCAAGAAGAAGAGGAAGAAGCCCGCGTGCAGCACGCCGTTGGAGCGAGCTGCTGCTGAGAGAGGGCGATGCATACCTGAGGGGAATGATGAGGGAAGGAGCGCATACCTGCAGCAATTACCACCATACATACCTGCAGCAATTACCACCATACATACCTGCAGCAATTACCACCATACATACCTGCAGCAATTACCACCATACATACCTGCAGCAATTACCACCATACATACCTGCAGCAATTACCACCATACATACCTGCAGCAATTACCACCATACATACCTGCAGCAATTACCACCATACATACCTGCAGCAATTACCACCATACATACCTGCAGCAATTACCACCATACATACCTGCAGCAATTACCACCATACATACCTGCAGCAATTACCACCATACATACCTGCAGCAATTACCACCATACATACCTGCAGCAATTACCACCATACATACCTGCAGCAATTACCACCATACATACCTGCAGCAATTACCACCATACATACCTGCAGCAATTACCACCATACATACCTGCAGCAATTACCACCATACATACCTGCAGCAATTACCACCATACATACCTGCAGCAATTACCACCATACATACCTGCAGCAATTACCACCATACATACCTGCAGCAATTACCACCATACATACCTGCAGCAATTACCACCATACATACCTGCAGCAATTACCACCATACATACCTGCAGCAATTACCACCATACATACCTGCAGCAATTACCACCATACATACCTGCAGCAATTACCACCATACATACCTGCAGCAATTACCACCATACATACCTGCAGCAATTACCACCATACATACCTGCAGCAATTACCACCATACATACCTGCAGCAATTACCACCATACATACCTGCAGCAATTACCACCATACATACCTGCAGCAATTACCACCATACATACCTGCAGCAATTACCACCATACATACCTGCAGCAATTACCACCATACATACCTGCAGCAATTACCACCATACATACCTGCAGCAATTACCACCATACATACCTGCAGCAATTACCACCATACATACCTGCAGCAATTACCACCATACATACCTGCAGCAATTACCACCATACATACCTGCAGCAATTACCACCATACATACCTGCAGCAATTACCACCATACATACCTGCAGCAATTACCACCATACATACCTGCAGCAATTACCACCATACATACCTGCAGCAATTACCACCATACATACCTGCAGCAATTACCACCATACATACCTGCAGCAATTACCACCATACATACCTGCAGCAATTACCACCATACATACCTGCAGCAATTACCACCATACATACCTGCAGCAATTACCACCATACATACCTGCAGCAATTACCACCATACATACCTGCAGCAATTACCACCATACATACCTGCAGCAATTACCACCATACATACCTGCAGCAATTACCACCATACATACCTGCAGCAATTACCACCATACATACCTGCAGCAATTACCACCATACATACCTGCAGCAATTACCACCATACATACCTGCAGCAATTACCACCATACATACCTGCAGCAATTACCACCATACATACCTGCAGCAATTACCACCATACATACCTGCAGCAATTACCACCATACATACCTGCAGCAATTACCACCATACATACCTGCAGCAATTACCACCATACATACCTGCAGCAATTACCACCATACATACCTGCAGCAATTACCACCATACATACCTGCAGCAATTACCACCATACATACCTGCAGCAATTACCACCATACATACCTGCAGCAATTACCACCATACATACCTGCAGCAATTACCACCATACATACCTGCAGCAATTACCACCATACATACCTGCAGCAATTACCACCATACATACCTGCAGCAATTACCACCATACATACCTGCAGCAATTACCACCATACATACCTGCAGCAATTACCACCATACATACCTGCAGCAATTACCACCATACATACCTGCAGCAATTACCACCATACATACCTGCAGCAATTACCACCATACATACCTGCAGCAATTACCACCATACATACCTGCAGCAATTACCACCATACATACCTGCAGCAATTACCACCATACATACCTGCAGCAATTACCACCATACATACCTGCAGCAATTACCACCATACATACCTGCAGCAATTACCACCATACATACCTGCAGCAATTACCACCATACATACCTGCAGCAATTACCACCATACATACCTGCAGCAATTACCACCATACATACCTGCAGCAATTACCACCATACATACCTGCAGCAATTACCACCATACATACCTGCAGCAATTACCACCATACATACCTGCAGCAATTACCACCATACATACCTGCAGCAATTACCACCATACATACCTGCAGCAATTACCACCATACATACCTGCAGCAATTACCACCATACATACCTGCAGCAATTACCACCATACATACCTGCAGCAATTACCACCATACATACCTGCAGCAATTACCACCATACATACCTGCAGCAATTACCACCATACATACCTGCAGCAATTACCACCATACATACCTGCAGCAATTACCACCATACATACCTGCAGCAATTACCACCATACATACCTGCAGCAATTACCACCATACATACCTGCAGCAATTACCACCATACATACCTGCAGCAATTACCACCATACATACCTGCAGCAATTACCACCATACATACCTGCAGCAATTACCACCATACATACCTGCAGCAATTACCACCATACATACCTGCAGCAATTACCACCATACATACCTGCAGCAATTACCACCATACATACCTGCAGCAATTACCACCATACATACCTGCAGCAATTACCACCATACATACCTGCAGCAATTACCACCATACATACCTGCAGCAATTACCACCATACATACCTGCAGCAATTACCACCATACATACCTGCAGCAATTACCACCATACATACCTGCAGCAATTACCACCATACATACCTGCAGCAATTACCACCATACATACCTGCAGCAATTACCACCATACATACCTGCAGCAATTACCACCATACATACCTGCAGCAATTACCACCACACATACCTGCAGCAATTACCACCATACATACCTGCAGCAATTACCACCATACATACCTGCAGCAATTACCACCATACATACCTGCAGCAATTACCACCATACATACCTGCAGCAATTACCACCATACATACCTGCAGCAATTACCACCATACATACCTGCAGCAATTACCACCATACATACCTGCAGCAATTACCACCATACATACCTGCAGCAATTACCACCATACATACCTGCAGCAATTACCACCATACATACCTGCAGCAATTACCACCATACATACCTGCAGCAATTACCACCATACATACCTGCAGCAATTACCACCATACATACCTGCAGCAATTACCACCATACATACCTGCAGCAATTACCACCATACATACCTGCAGCAATTACCACCATACATACCTGCAGCAATTACCACCATACATACCTGCAGCAATTACCACCATACATACCTGCAGCAATTACCACCATACATACCTGCAGCAATTACCACCATACATACCTGCAGCAATTACCACCATACATACCTGCAGCAATTACCACCATACATACCTGCAGCAATTACCACCATACATACCTGCAGCAATTACCACCATACATACCTGCAGCAATTACCACCATACATACCTGCAGCAATTACCACCATACATACCTGCAGCAATTACCACCATACATACCTGCAGCAATTACCACCATACATACCTGCAGCAGTGAGAAGAGGAAGACGCCCGCATGCAGGACGCCGTTGGAGCGCGCTGCTGCTGAGAGGGCGATGAGGAGGAGGGAGTTTCTAACATATCAGGTCAATAACTGCAAACCCCTAAGGAGCATGTACCTGCAGCAGTGAGAAGAGGAAAAAGCCCGAGTGAAGGACTCCATTTGAGCGCGCTGCTGCTGAGAGGGCGATGAGGAGGGATGCCGAGAACCATCGGCCACTCACAACGCGCCACATGGCAGCGAAGGAGAGCAGAGCGAATAGGCTTTCGGAGTAGCTGTTGGGGTCAAAGGGGAGGGGAGGGGTGGGGTGGGGTGGGGTGAGTTGGGACGAGGTGGTGCGGCCAGGAAAAGTGGGGAGGTGGGGGATGTGGGAAGAGAAGGACGCAAAGACACCTATCTCCCTCTAACATACACTCTCCCTCTCACTCTCCCCTCCCCCTGACTCTCTCACCCACCCTCTCACAGATGCCCACTCCCCATCTCACCCACAAACACACACTCCCTCACACACACTCTCACAGTCACTTCCTCAGACTCATTCCCCCGAAGTCATTCACTTACATAGCAGGGTAAAAAGTGGAGGCGGGGGTGAGGCAGAAGAAGAGGGAGGGAGGAGAGGAGGCAAGAATGCGCAGCATGCCCGTTCTCCCTCTTTCTCACACAAACACACATAACCAGTCTCCCAACTTACATGGCAGAGTAAAAAGTGGAGGCGGGGGTGAGGCAGAAGAAGAGGGAGGAGAGGAGGGCCAAGCGCGTGTCAGAAAGAACACATTCGGTCAGCCTGCAAAGAGAGAAAAAAGATGAGCAAACATGAACATTGGACGATCAAGAAAAACACATTTGAAGCTTCTAGGTCGTGTCAGAGAGAACACACACACACACACACACACACACACACACACACACACACACACACACTCGGTCAGACTGCACGGGACAAAAATGACATGGGACGTTCAAGAGGAGCACACTTGAAAACGGGTTTGCAGGAAGTTAAAGAGCAGCGCCTGACCGGAAGGAGAGGAGGTTAGGCACATGCCAGAGAGAACACACTTTATCAGCTTGAACAGGGCATGAAGCACAAGATCAGGAAGAGTACATTTGAATCCACCGGACGGTCAAGAGGAGGAGCACACTTGAAGGTCAGCCTCCGAGTTGACTCAAGAGCAGATATCACTCACTCACTCACTCACTCACTCACTTTGCCCACATCTGATAGTGAAAATACCTGAAGAGGTAGAAAGCTGCTGCCACAAAAGCGGCATTTGAGAGGAGCAGTCCCACAAGGGCGAACGTGGCTGGTGCTCCGAGAATGGGGAGAAGCAGACGAACTGAGGGAGGAGGGAGAGCATAGAGAGGAGAGAAGAACGATCACGCATGCTTGTACCTATACGTTTATGTCAATGCACAGACCGTTATAGAAGGGTAGGAGGACAAGAGAGGAGAGGAGGGAAAGGAAGAAGTAAGATGCTGCATCAAAAACTGTACTGGGGAGCAGCAGGGCTGGAATCAATGTAATCTCGAGGTTGAGTGCTGAGGTAGGTAGGAACTGAGAAAAAAACTTATGGAGAGTGAGAGAGAGGCAGGGAGAAGGGCATACAACGGAGTGGCTGGCAGTGGCGGAGGGGGAAGAAGGCATAAGCCTGTTCGAACTAAAAAAAAAAGGCTTATTGGCGAGTGGTTACACTCGCAAGGGCGAGAGAAGAACGAAGAACTCACAGGGAGTGGCAGTGGCGAGGAGACGCATGAGCAGGGGCAAGAGAGGAAAGAATGCGTAGGCTTGTTCGAACTCACAAGAAGGGTCTATTGGCGAGTAGCGACATTCACCAGGGCAGGCGGAAAGGAAAGGAGGGCTTACAGGGTGTGGCAGTGGCGAGGAGTCGCATGAGGGAGGGCAGGAGGGGGAAGAAGGCGTAGGCTTGCTCGAACTCGTAGCCACAGAGGGCAATGCGGTGGAAAAAGACCGAATCCCACACCACTAGGCTCTCTAGCGCCCCTTGTACTGTGCTGTTATCACCTGATCATGGGGACAGAGGGGCAAGGGGCCAAGAAGTTCTCATAAGGAAGGGAAGGAGGGGGAAGAAGGCGTAGGCCTGTTCGACCTCGTAGCCACAGAGGGCAGTGCGGTGGAAGAACACCGAATCCCACACCACCAGACTCTCTAGTGCTTGCTGTACCGTGCTGCTATGACCTGTCAAGGAGAGAACAGAGGGGTTCAAAGAGGGGAAGGGGGTCCCATACGGAGTGCAATGCGGTGGAAGAAGACCGAATCCCACACCACCACGCCCTCCAACGCTTGTTGTACGGTGCTGTTATGGCCTGGTAAGGGGTGGTGAGGGGACAGAAGCCGTATGCCTATTCGAACCCTGTAGCAAAAGAAGGCAATTCAGTGAAAGAATGCCGAATCCCCCACCACCACGTCCTCCATCCAAAGCCCCTTGTACGGTACTGTTGTGGCCTGAAAGGGGTGTGGGAAGGAGGGGTTTCAGGGGGGAAAGGGGTGTGGTAAGGAGTGCAATGCGGTGGAAGAATACCGAATCCCACACCAACACGCCCTCCAACGATTGTTGTACCCTTGCTGTTGTGGCCTGGACCGGGTGTGTGGGGTGGGGTGTGTGGGATGCTTAGGGGTTGGCCGGATGGGCGAGGGGGTATCATGGGGATACAGAGGGCAATGCAGTCTAAGAAGACCGAATCCCACACCACCAGGCTTTCTAATGCTCGATGTTCCGTGCTGTTTTGGGCTGAGACCAGGGAGCGGGAGGAGTTTCTGTTGGAGGTTGCGTGGGGCTAGGTTTTGCCCCCAACCACCGAACGGTGCTGCTTTTGCTTCTCACCTTCGAGTGAGCTGCAGGTTGGCGTGGGGCTGAAGATTGACTTCGGAAGACTCAACCAATTCGGTGCCACATGGCAGCACCAGAAAGTTCGAGACTTGAAGGAACATTCGGATGAGTGAAATTCGAGTGTCGAATTTCACCACTTCGAAATGTTACGAGAACATTCGCGAAGTGTAGCGATGCGATGTTACGAACGCGGTTCGATGTTGATTGCATGATATAAAACTAGTTGCTTTGTATGCATGTTTCATACTGAAAATCAGAGTTTTCTATACACGGTTCAACTCGACACAAAATCCAGAGACTTTCTATCCTTCAATCTTAGAGCACTACCTAGCACGTTGAAAGCCGTATCTCAGCCGATACTTGGGCGAATTACGTGTTCTACGGCTCCTTGGAAAGCCAAGAGTGTGCTCTAGTGATTAGTACAAATCCCAGTTCCTGCAAAGTAGAGGAGAGTCCTTTACATCAGTTTCAGGGATGGAAAGAGGTTCAAGGGGGGAAAAGGGGGAACCAGTATGAGTGCAACGCGGTGGAAGAAACCGAATTGCACAAGGGAGGAAACCGTGTAATTATGGCCTGAACCGGGCGTGAAGGGTGGGTGCGGTGGGGGAAGTGCCTTTAGGGGTGTATACAGCGGAAGAGGTGTTAATTACCTGGGTAATCTTCGATCAGCGATGCGGAAAACAACTCAGGCGGTAGACGGCGGAGGACCCACTCCCTCGCGCGAGCGACTGTGGGAACGAAGCCTATACGCCCCGTGGCGACATTCGCGAGAGTTGATTCGTCAGAGATTCCGTTACTAGCATGGGAGATTCCTAGGAGTGTCAGAGTGCGGTCTACTGCAGACGAATTTCCAGGTGACACGTGGCGAGGACGACACGGAGAGTAGATGCGAGCTGACGTGTCATAATCTTCTAGAATTGCGTCAAAGGCGAAAAACAGTACCACCATGGCGACGCGCGACACCGCCGCTGTCGCGAGCACAATGCGCCCGGCTCGGCGACGATCTGCGACGCTGCTGGGCTTGCCTCGACCATCGCTGGACTTGGGCCGATCCTGTCTCGAATCTACTGAACCTGCATCCGGCATCAGTTCAACGCCACGTGGCGAATCCACATCCGTTGCAGCACTAACCATACGACGAGGCCCCATCTTCCCGCCGCGGCGTATCTAATACCTCCTAATTCACACGCCGAGGCGACATCTTCCTCTACTTAGAATAACGACAAGAACATCGTCCTTTCGCTTTGTTAAGGATTACCCCAATGCAGCATTTCGTCCGTACTAAACGCTCGTGCCGTGCTCACAGGCTAAGGGCGGGTCCCGAAAGTACAAATATAGTTCATTAGGTGAAAGTAACCACAATCTCGCTTTTTCGCCACTCGCCAATCGTTCTTCTGGACACGGCGCCAGACTGTACAAAATCTACTGACGCACTGCTCAGGTTGAGGTGTGTACTGTACAGACAGCGAGAGATACAGCTTTGACATCCCTGAAACAGATAGAGCACGAAGCGAAGAGTGCCATAGTCGCCGCATCGCCCTTGGGCGAACTCGCCCTGCTGTCGCAAATTCGACTGCGTCTCGATGCTACAATCTGTTGGGGGGGTTCTTTTTCCCCCTCAAGAGTTACAACTTTCGCGAGGCAAATGGGTTTCGCGGCAATGTGGACCTGGTAACAGGAGATCTGGAATAGATGTCGCGGCACTGTAGAACTGCGAGTCACTGTCCACTTTTTGGAATTCGTAATATTTCGGAGTGATGTGTACGAACGTGGAACGTGTTTGTACCGCGCAGCTGTACGTCTTTTTTTACGTAAAACTGGGTCCCGAAACTGCTTACGTACTTTCGGGACCCGCCATAAGTCGCGATGTGGCGGCTAACTTGAAAAAGGCCACTGACATAGGGCTGCAATGAAAGGCACTGCTAATGCTTCGGGGCATGATCATATCGGTCATTGAGAAAAAAATTAGCCTGGTGCTTAATGTTGCAGCGAGATACAATACGGTGCATTTTGTTTTTTGCCGAACTTTGCATCAGGTCATATATTCATCCACCAACTTTGCAAGGTTCAATTGGGTGCACAGTGGTCTAATGGGGTGAAAACTGGAAAAAAAATGTCTTACAGTCCAACATTTTTCACTACGAGGAGTGATCAACGAGAAGTAGTTTCAGCAGTGTTTGTGAACAAGCATCGTGTGTGATGTCAGGAAAGCGTTTTGGCGGGATGTTATGCGCGGCAGAGTGGTTGGTATGAAAGGTAAAATGGTTGGGTGGGCTCTGACAGAAAGTGAAATTCATCCACATTCAACCGCATTCCTGCCTAGATTTCACGACACATATTGCACACCTGGTGTGGTGGTATATAGAAGACAGGCAAATACTTATCTAGGCTGGACACAAGGTGCAGAATATTTACAGAACTCCTTACATTAATGAGTGGCCTAATCTACTCTCGAGCCTATATTACTTCCACTTCAAAATCCACCACTGAAAGGTCAAACCCTCACTCAGCTGGTGTCCTGTTCTATGAAACTAGCAAGCCAGCAGCAAGCACTATCTAGAGTCCTGTTTAAAAGCTCCAGCAACGTCGCTATCCCCTCACGCTTTCCCAAAAAGGTTTACGCAAGCTCACAAATCTCCTACGTGAAAGCAGCAGCATCAGCTCCAGCATACTCAGAAGCGTGACACTTATGCTCCAGGCTTCCCTCATTCGTATCAGCCTGTATAGCATCACCGCCTTCCCCTGTTGCTCCAGCTCCACTCCCCTCCCACTCTTATCAGGATGCAGTCTCGCTCAATCAATCTGTACAGATTTGTAAGTTGATGAAACTCTGAAGATTGTAAGACATCTCGAATCTTTTGCAGTATCACACTCCAGTCTCCATGATGGCTCTCCGCATAGACTTCCTCAGACGCTCGTTTTCCGCCATCAGCGCAGCAATCTCCCCCTCAATCTCCGCGTTACTCCTCTCAACCACCTCGCACCGCTGCTCCAACTCTGACACATAGTTCTTCTTCCGCTCCCGCGCCTGCTGCGCGCTCACGCGGTTCCGCAGCAGCCGCTTCACCCGCCGCTCATCCCGCTGCTGCTTCGCCGTGGCCTTCCCTCCCTTAACTTGCTGCCCGGACGCAGGCGGCGAAACGGTAGCGGGGATAGCGGGAGCCTCAGCGGTAGGAACAAACTCGTCCTCTTCAATCTTGAGGACAGGCGAAAAAGGCAGGGCAGCGGCTGGAGCAGCGGCGACCTCCGCGCCTGCCGAAAACTTCACGGCAGAAGATTTACCAGCAGCAGCAGCAGGAGGAGCAGCTCTACCCAGCGGACTCTTCGCCGCAGCCTTCCCCGCGCCGGCTTTCCACACCACAGCAGGGGACGATGCGGGATCCGGCGAGGCGCACCGTGCGGGGGACGCGACGGCTTTGGGAGACGACGGGACGACGGCGGGGGAGAACGGCGGGAGAGGAGCGGCGGGAACGAACGGAGACGACGGAGCGGTGTTCGCGGAGTCGGCGGCTTCGGGATTGACGTGATTCCAGGGCAGCATGGACGGTGAGGATTGCGAGATGGGGAGGCCGTAGAGGGACGCGGAAGGCATCGCGGAAGGCATGGCGGAAGATACGGCGGAAGGGAACTGCGAGGACGCGTGGTGCGCGTGTCGTCGTCGCTTTCCGCGCGCGGAATCCGCGACCAGGCGTCGCTGACGCGCGATGGCGGCAGGGTCGGTGGGCATTGCGTTGGTTCCAGGCATCGCACTGGACAGAGTAAAAAGAAAGTGATTATTAGTTTCCATTCACAAGTAGTGCGTTCCTCTTTTCGCGAAGTTCAGTTGTGCATGACTCGTAGAAAAATCGTATGGGCCGGACAAGGAAATGTCTGACATCATTCAGGGAAAGAAAAGCGGCGCGGACTTACTGTTGGGGAGGCATGAAGGGCGAGGAGTAAGGAGCCATCCACGGGTTGTACGGAAATGGAGGGTACGGCATGCCGTAGTAGGGAGCCGGCATGGTGGGCATTCCTGGGTAGTAGAGCGGCATGTGCGGCGGGTACATCGGGTAGTTCATTGGGTGATGCGCTGGGTACTCCATCTTGGGATGCGACGGAGCATCCGCAGTAGAATGCTCTGCGTTACGGAAAGAACAGAATAGAAAAATAAAATAACGAGTTAGCCACAAAACTTCGTGATGACTAAGTGGAAACAGGAGCACGAACGCATGGAAAAAACGAAAGTGAAACCGAGAAGGAGTCGAATCGCATGCTTTCACTGCGTACCTGCAAGGCCCGCTCCTCTGAGCATGAGATTGTAACGAAGGTCTTGCTGATTCAACTCATCCACGTCATCCATCCCGAACGACAGATTGAAATCCTCCGACGCGAAGCCGTCCGGCGAGCTGAACGCGTCAGGCGATCCGAACGCTCCGTCTGCGACCGAGTTGGCGACGTCGCTTGTCGTCGTAGTCGTCGCAGCCGGTTTCGGGGCGCACGGGACCAGTTGCGGCTCGCACGAGCCTTCCGGAAACGACGCAGCGAGATTCACGGTACCGAAGGGGTTCGAGTCGAACATGCCGAAATTTTCATGGCTGCCTCCCTCCCCAACAGACTCTTCCGGAACATCATCCGGGAGAAGCCTGTCCGCGTTAGGGAGCACTTTGTTATCCTTCTCAGCAATCCCCCCCATTTCACCCATGTACGTCATTAGTTGGTCGAGCCCTCGGTCGAAGAGGTCTCCGGTCTGACCAAAGGAGAACATGGTGTCATCTGCTGCGTCGAACGCGTCTGCGTAAGGCCTCTTGGAACCGAGCTTTTGGTTCGACTCCATGGGAAAGCCGGAGCTCGGAGAAAGAGAAATCTCTCCGGGAATCATCTTGCACAACTTCTTTTAAGTAGAGTGGACAGTACAAGTAAGTACTCCAAAGTTCCAGTCAAGAACCCCGATAGTCAGCTGGGGATAATGAATGAGCTAGCTTCGGTAGCTAGCAGTTTCTGAAGCAACCTGGAATGCTGACTAGGAAGGCAGGAAATGATACTTGAATCTTCTCGTAAAGTGAAGTAAATACTCGCGAAAATACTCGCTGGGACGATGGAGGGGGAGACCGACTTTCTGCGGAAACGGCCGCGGTTTCCTCCCGTCCCGTCCCGCTGGGAGTTGCGGAAAATACAATTGCAGTTGCAATGGCAGCGGAGGAGCAGAGGGGAGAAATGGCCGCTGCTGAATCTGCGGCCAAATGCAGGTCTGAGGTGACAAGGACGACGCGGTTCCGCCACCTCAGCTGCACTCACTTCACTGTTCCAGATACAAGAGCGCCTACCAACCAAAGCACACCTGGCTGGGGTTGGCTTGGGATAATTTCCAGTTTTGGGGAGTGGTCCAAACACATAATTCACGTTTGGGAAGGATTCGAAATGTTGCGGAGTGGTGTAGCGGGGTTTTCTGGATTTGGCTGGATGATTTTTGGGGGGAAGATCTTTGGGTGAAGGCGGTGGGGTTGCTTGCGGGGATCATATTTGGGGAGGGGAGTTGAGGAGAGAGCAGCGTGCGGCGGAGTCGAGGTCTTTGGGAACCTCGGTTTGGCGCTGGGTGGGAACGTCAGCCTCAGGTGTAGGTTTGGTTGCACGAGGGGCTAGTTGGCTGGTTCAGGGGGAAGGACTGAGGGGGGAGGGGGCAGGCGTCAGGGAAGGTGGTGGTCGCGGGCCAGAATTAGTTCGAAAATTGATAAGGGGAGCGAATTTGTTGCCTTTGCGAAACTTGCGACAGACTGGCCACAGGTGACCTCCTGTCAGAATTGATTCGCTCGTGCGCTCAAGCAGGCAGGCGTCGGAATTCGCGAACGCGAAAATGTCGGGAGAGTCCTTTCGCCGCGTCTGCCAACCTGTGCGTACAAAGGGGGTCGAGCAGGAAGAATTCTGACCACGAAATGAGCCCAAGTCCCTCGCTTACGTACGTCTCGCAGCTTCGACGAAAGATTCACCTCGCTTGAGGTTGAAGAAACGATCACCTAGATCTTCTATCCCCCGGTTGGCAAGAGGCTGTCATCAACGACTTTTCGCGGGTGAGCACCGCACCTCATTGGCCGAGCCATTCGAACCTTGGATCTAGAACTTGAAGCCACCTGGCGCTGAGTAGGAAAATGCCATGGACAGTGGCAAGAGATCTCCTCAGGGACAGCTCACCCAATTGATTCGTGCGAACCAAGTGTCCACTGCACTGGTGATGAGTGAATCTAACCACATTCTGTAGCTTGAATCTTTCCTACCACTGAAACGGCACAGTTGTCGGCACAATCAAATCCTTCACTACACATTGCCCCGCCCTCGAACGCATTCAGTTTGCACAGACTCATTTAGAGTAAGCGTGGCAGTCAGTTACGATTGTGGATGCATACATGCTAGAGTGTCTTTCATAAAAGAATGCGCGGATGTGTAGCAATACAAGCCCACCCACATACGCATACAATATCAAAGTGAACAACAAGTGATTCTCCACTATCCAACTCAACAACGCCTGTTCTTAGGCTTTTAACATTCACTTGTATTATCCCAGTTGCTCATCAGGGGCCGGATGTTACGAGTGCAATGGAGTGAGCGGGCGAGGATTGCACTATCGAGACAAGATACAATGAGCGAAGGATTGAGCGAAGAATATATAGCGAAGCTACAGTGGTAACGGTTGTTGGAAACAAGTAACTTAAACGCCTCTGAAGTATTGAAGTATCGACACGAAACGGAGCAGACTACAGCGAAGAAACACACGAGTCAACAAAGCAACCGCTGGAGGTTACGCTAAGGTCAAAGGTCGTTGACCTTTGACTTGACGAAAAGTACAATGCGACAGCAAGGACACATAACTGACTCGTTACTGAGCAGTTACCCGAGTCGGCACTGTATCGAACCGCAACAGCAAAACAGTTAAAGTAGAACCTTTCATATTCCTTTGTAATCATATAAAAGCCATATATTTCCCGGTTATTAATTAACTTATGTTGTTCTCACACACCAGTACAAGGTGGTTCAAGCAACTCTGATATTAACGCTTCCGCAAATACAACATCTCTACTTCAACGCCGATCTTAGCATTGAAAGATCCTAAGGGCTTTTCTCAGCCCAACATGGTATGAGAGCAAACAGGGCAAGATCATTTTCTTAAATACCTACAACAACGCAAGACATGGCAACACAGAAGGAGAGGAGCTCCTCCAACGGATCTCTCGGCACTAACCCTACTCCACCTCCAGCCTCTAGCCTACAGACAGAAGAAGGCACAGCAACAAGACCAGCTGCGGAGTCAACCGAAACTCCCGGGAATCAACCAGCAGGCTTCGACCCAAACATGATGGAGAAGTTCTTCTCCTTCATGTCCTTCTATGAGCAACACCAGCAAGCAGCTCCTGCGCAATCAAACAACAGCGACAACAACAACAGAGCAACACCGATGACCCTTGACAGTTCATCCTATGCGCGTGGAAATCAACAACAACTCACCTTTGCTCCGTACGAGCCTCAACGTGGCTCCATCAGCTTCGCGCCACAACCACAGCCTTCACATGGACAAGAAAAGACATTGGACGCACTTCAAGTTCAGTCGCAATTCACACATGTGTTAAAACTGCAAACGTCAACGCTCTTCGACGGAAAGGACTTTTATACCAGGTCATTCGAATTTGAGCTGATGATGGAGGGCGCGCAAATTCTCGGATTCTTCGACGGCTCCCTGCCATATCCAGCACACGGGACACAATACGACAAGCAGCAGTATACGTATCAGTCGCTGATGGCGTACACGATACTTCTTCGAAATTTAACGCCAAACGAGCAGCATAACATTCGGTCATATCGAGGATACGGCAACTCCGCCGAGCTGGCGTACGACCACCTGAAGAGCTTGTATCAAGCAACAGACAGTGTTAATCAAAGTCGTCTCATGGCACAACTGACAACAGTGGAAATGAAACCCGGAGTAAAGGGCATGGCGTATATCAGTCGCTGTCGTGGACTGCGCGACAGACTCCTTCGATGCGGAGGATCAATATTCGAAGAAGCCTTCGTAACAGTCATCATCGCCGGCCTCGATCCTCATTGGCGCTCCACTCGAGCACTCCTTCGAGCTCACGGGAAGAACTCCGAAGCAGCACTGTGCGCCGAAATTCACGCTGAAAAAAAGGATATTGACCTGCACGAAAAACGACACAAGAAGAAAGCGTCAGCACCAGAATTCGCCTTTCACACTTAACGACGCTACAACAACAACAACAACAACAACCGACACAACAACCGACAAGTACAACAGTACGTCCCACCGTTCTGTCTGTCAGAATAGTGAAGGAAGGAATGACTGAACTAGCAAGCAGGTGGGTACAAGTAGGAAACCTAAAAGTGTTGTACCCAATGAGGACTACCCCACTACAGCCTAAACAGACTATAGCATATAAGTTTGACACACCCCCATAGGCAAAGTGGGGGAGAACAAGAGGTCACAAGACCGTTCAAGAAAGGCAAAGCAAGCTCAGGGTGGATAACGACGTCACCATGCATTCTGAGCACAAGCAAATGGCCACAAGGCCAGTTCACATGCAGAGTTATATAAAGGAGAACAAGCAATACAGTGAACACAACCTAGCAAGTGTAAGCATGCAGGTATATGTATAGAGATCACAGTACAAGCAGAGTCAAGAAGTAAGCAAGTGAGGCACAGTAGGTACAAGGCCTAGAACAGTACAGAAACGCTGATGATCACAAGGCTGAAGTGCCTTGGTGAAAACATCAGCAGTGTTGGCCCGAGAGGCCACGTAAGCAAGACGAAGCTGACCATGCTGCTGCAACTCTCGAGCAAGGAAGTAGCGCAGGGCAATGTGCTTCGTTCTGTGCTCCAGTCTGTGCTCCTGACACAAGGCAAGCATGGCCTTGTTGTCGACGTACAGAACTGGAGGAGAACGAGGCGCCTCTCCCAAGTCGATCAGCAGGTAGGTGAGCCAGCGTAACTCCTGTGCAGCCATGCCCCAGCGTAGATCTCAGCCTCACAACTGGAGCTGAGAACAGAAGAAGAGCGGGTAGACCGCCAAGAGACAGAGCCGGAACCAAGACTGAAGGTGTAACCCTGTGACGACCGCTGCGTAGCCAAGTCGTCAACCCAGGAAGCGCCTGCGTGACCAGTGAGGACAACTCGAGCCCGTCCTCCAAGCACGAGCCCCATGCCCAACGTACTGCACAGGTAGCGCAACACCCTCTTCGCGGGAGCCACGTAGCGAGCCAAAAGGCTGAGAGGCTGGCTGTAACTGCGACTGTGACTGGACAGGCGGTGGACTCAGTAAAGGAGGAGCAGGACCAGTAGAAGGCGGGAGACCAAGTACCTGCTGAAGGAGCGGAACGTAGTACGGCCGCGGCCGCGCAGCGCCTCCAGAAACAGCAGAGACAGCACCAGTACCCTCAGCTCAAGGGTCTCCAGCTACAACTCCCGCAGCACCACCAGCTCCAGTACCTCCAGCTCCAGTACCTCCAATAGCTCCAGTTCCAGCAGCACCTACAGCTCCAACTCCTGCAGCACCACCAGCCCCAGCAGCTCCAGTACCTCCAGTACGAGCACCTCCGGGACCAGCAGCTCCAACACCAGCAGGACCTCCAACAGCGCCAGTACCTCCAGCACCAGCACCTCCAGGACCAGCGGCTCCAGCAGCTCCAGCACCAGCAGCACCTCCAGCAGCTCCAGCTCCAGAAGCACCTCCAGCAGCTCCAGCACCAGCAGCACCTCCAGCAGCAGGCCCCGTAGCTCCAGCAACACGGCTACAGTGCCTAGCGTATCACTCACGTAGCCGCTGCGGAGAGAGG